GGGCCCCCGCCCTGGGGGCCCCCTTCATCCGCATCGTAAGACTGGGGCCCCCTTCTACTGCACAGGGGCCCCTCATCCACACAGCCTGGTCGAGCCGAGGAGAGGGGCCCCCAGGGGCCCCCCGTCCTCCAATCGAGTCTCCTCACAAACACTTTCACAAGGGGGCCCCTGGGGCCCCAGGGTCCCCCGGGGGGCCCCCCAGGGTTCTCTTGGTTCCCCTGCGTGCCCTGTTCTTCTGGCTGAGAGCAGCGGGGGGCCCCCCCAGACCCCGACAGGGGGCCCCCAAAGGAATTCATTTGGGGGGCCCCCAGCATTGCCTCGTCTATCTGTTGGGTTTTCNCGACAGGGGGCCCCCAAAGGAATTCATTTGGGGGGCCCCCAGCATTGCCTCGTCTATCTGTTGGGTTTTCTCGCATATATGCAGGGCCTCCTCATCGAGGTCAGTCAAATAAACCTCCACACACAAATCCAACCCTCCTGGGGGGCCCCCCTCAGGGGGCCCCCCATCAGCACCCCCCCTCCCAGCAGGGGGCCCCCCGGCAGGGGCCCCCGTAGGGGCCCTTCTTAGGGCCTCGCTGAGCAGCAGACGGCGCAGGAGGGGCCCCAGGAGGCCAACGCCGCTACCCAGCTCGAGGACGCGTAAAACACGCCGCTCCCCGGTCTCCTCTGTAGGGGCCCCCGAAGGGGCCCCCCTTGAGGCCCCTGCTGGGGCCCCCGTAGGGGCCCCGTTTGGGGCCCCTGCTGCCCCTGTTGGGGCCCCTGCTGGGGCCCCCGTTGAGACCCGTGTGGGGGCCCCTGCTGGGGCCCCTGCTGGGGCCCCTGCTGGGTCTTGCGTGGGGGCCCTGTCTGGGGCCCCTTCAAGGGGCCCCAAGGAGGCCTTTTGAGGGTCCCCGTTGGGGGCCCCTGGACCTGTAGGGGGTTGTGTAGCGAGGCCTTCAGGGGTGTGTTTGTTGGGGGCCCCCCTTATGCATGTATACGGGGGCCCCCTTGTGGATGGGCGTGGGGGCCCCCAGAGGAGGTGAGGGTTGTTGAGGAGGAAGTTCGCCATAGTGAGGGCCCCCGGCCAGAGGCCCCTTCCTACTTCTCCTAATTTCTTTGNTTGAGGAGGAAGTTCGCCATAGTGAGGGCCCCCGGCCAGAGGCCCCTTCCTACTTCTCCTAATTTCTTTGCTTGTTGTTGTAAAACCCCAAACCCCCGTAAACCCCAATCAAAACCACCAACGGTAAACCCTTGGGGGCCCCCACCAGAGCTACAACTGCCTCTGGGGGCCCCCTCCCCCTGCCCCCGACACCCAGGGCCCCCAGGGCGCCCAGGGGCCCCAGGAGACCTCCAAGGGCTTCTGGGGGCCCCAGGGGCCCAGGGGCCCCTGGGGGGGCAGGGACGTCGAGGGGGCTCAAGGTCACCGTCTGCATCGGTGAAGGCTGCATGAAGACTCTGATGCGGTGTCTCCTCACCTCCTTCTGCTTTGGGGGGCCCCCTGGGGGGCCCCCGGGGGGCCCCCCCAGGGGCCCCCAGAGGGGCACAATCAGGGTCCTTGGGGGCCCCCTCGGAAAGAGCAGCAGAAGGTAGGGTAGTTGTGAAGCTCGTAGCGTCGGGGGGGCCCCCAATGGTCCATAGAGATAAAAACATCAGCAACAGATGAAGGCAATGGGGGGCCCCCCAACCAGCAATGAGCGGGGGCCCCCCTCAGCACACACACATACACTCTAATTGGTGGGGTTGTTGTTATATTGCTTTTGTAGAAAAAAAATAATAAAAAGATTTTCATTTCTATTGCCATTAAGGGCCCCTTCTAGGACCCAAAGGTTATACTTGAGAGGGGGCCCCCTGGGGGGCCCCCTCGGGGGGGCCCCC